TGAAACCAAACTGGAATTGGTAAAAAAAAAAAAAAACGAATAAAGAGTGGTTGAAAGGCTGACCTGAGCAGGATCGACTTTGGGGAAGCTCTTGACAATGGAGAGGACTCTCTCGATGACCTCTTCTTTGGTTAGATGATCGTCGTGCGATGAAAAGAACCGGAGTGAATTGCAGAGACCCCATTGCAGCCGATTTAATCTGGTTGCAGTTAGGGTTCCGACGGGTAGCCGAATGTGGCTGAGGACGGCTGCTCTCAGTGCCATTTCCTTCTCTCGCCTCGCTCTCGACTTTCTGCTTGCTGCCTGGTGAATTAGCTGAGTAGTAAAAGACTGCTTGAATCGTCACGAGCTTCTCACGTGCTCCCCCTCCCATATTTTCCTTTCCTTTATTTTTCCATTTTTCTCTATTTTTTTTATAAAAAATTTTCGTTCTTTTATTCTTCAGCTATTTGAACCTTTATAACTTTGTAATTTTGTAATTTATATAATGTTTGTATATTAATGTCAATTAAAAAAATAATAATCGAATGAAACTAATTAAAAAGAACTATTTAACAATTATTATTTCATAAAAGTATTACCTAAAATTTGGTTATGCCCATGTAATGCTATTATGTGCAAATAAAATGAATAGGGAGGAGAGGAGTATACAATTTGAAAATCTTTAAACTAAGTTGGTTTTATATGTTATGGAATAATGTCAACTACTGTTGTAATTTAATAACCACAACTCTTTTGAAAAATGTAATGACATTTAAAATTTTAAGATTTCAATCTTGATAATGTCATTTTCTATCTCTTCAATTAGAGCAACTAACAACTTTTAGTCTATATTTTGATAAATAAAAATGTTTGAATCATAAATAATAACTAATATTAACAGCATTTAAACAATTAACCCTAATAGGACCTTATTATATTCCATTTATAAATCATTCTTCCTAAGCCTAAAACACTTTCATCTCCTTTCCATGATGCCTTTCAACGACCTCATCCATCAAGCCTACAACTTGTGGTCCCATATATCTCTTCCCTTCACATTCAGGCAGCTCCTAGTCCATTTGC